TAGATCCAGGAGACTCCTCAGCGAGTCCTCCTGTTTTATCCTCACAACTAACTTGTTGAAGCCTAAAGGGTAACCACTCCCTCATCATCCTCACTATAGCTTGTCTGAGTTGTGCGCCAGAGTAACAAACTCTTGGTTGTTACAGTAAGTCTTTTTTTTTGCTTTTTTCAGACAATACTGTGAGTACTCACCTGTGTATTACCCAACACTGTCAAGGGTGTTACCAACAACATCACTGGTCTATTTGGAACCAAGCCCACGCCTGGAACCGGATGCTTCAGCAGCTCACACAAGATCATCAGGCCATAGAAGACTGCTGTTTTCCCCCCACCGGTAGGCATTATCAACAGTTGTGATATGCCTGCTAACGAATTCACCCAGCTCTGAACCTGGAATGAACGCCATTGAGGCATGCAAGCCTCCATAATTCCTTGGACGATGGTGCGGCCTTCAAGGGATAGCCAATCAATTGGAGGCTGTGTAGTTTGATCATTGGCATTGGGAGTGTGAGGCATGTATGTACAGAGTTATTAGGGATGTAGCGTTGTTTGTGATGCACATTGCAATGATATTATTTTTCTTCCAAGTCCCTATCCTCTTTCTCATGCCAACTCTGGCCGTTCCAGCCGTTAAAGTGTCCATGTGCCATCTCAAACCGACTGTTCAATCACTCGGACCAAGCTTTATTGGCAGTGAATGGGGGGCTCCTGTACGCCACCCTTAGTTCGGACAAGACTAAGGAATACCATCTTTTGATCTCCCATATACTCAGAATTTGTCTGAATAAGTTGCCATAGTTGCCTCAGAAGTGCTGTAGATGTTCCCCAGCCGTATAGCCATAGTGACTCCATGGAGTGGTGGCTATGCTCCATGGAGAACAATGGCTGCTTAGCAGCTTTAGCTGAGACTGGGTTTATCTGGTTTTGTCACTCGACTCTCATTTAATTATTCTACAAGGTAGGCACCAGTACAAACTGGTATAACCTGACTAGAAAACCTTCATTTTGGTCAGGTGACAGTCAAATCTGACTATTGCCTGACTATTGCCTAACAAAATGTTTTTACCGGGGATCAGGAGTCTACATTTCTGCATGAGCAGTTCTTACCACTTTCTCCAATCTCTGCCGCCTTCTTATGCGCATTTTCTATACCGGTTGGGGAAAGAAGACTACGTTCTATGTAGCATAATACAACTCATTCCTCGATTACTTCTCTTCAGTGATTAGATATAATCATAATCTCGCGTGAGGCTACCTTGATACCGATTGTGCTCGCCGATACGTCGATGCAGTAATGGGGGTATTGGGTGGGGCTGTTATGCCATTATGTCAGTATGTCAGTTGTGTTCACGGGAATTTGGAATCTGCCAATAGGCCGGGACTTGGGAGTGAGAAAAAAAGAACGTGAGTTCTGAGTAGGCGTAAAGCGCAGACTCGATATTTGATCTTGAGAGGATGGGGGGTGTCAGGGGTGAAATATGAAATAGCTCTGAGCTGTGGGGCCGTGGTGAGAAGAGAGTGGCCAGAGAGGTTCGAGTCTGAGGTTTAAAAGTGTTGCTAAGAGGTGATGAGCGCAGGCTTGATCGATTTGGACGATTCACGAGGGAGTGCATGATGGGCTGATATTAGATTAGTTCCTTACACGCTACATCGTACGTCGACGCTATGAAACTATGGCGGCGCCATTTCCTTACCCCCCCGCCCCATCGTCATCGTGTTTCGAAAGTGAAGAAAGATACCTCTCTCTCTCTCTCTTTTTTGTTTTTCTGCATGTCTCACCAAAAAAAATAAAGAGAGGGAGCGGGGGGTGATTCGGAGGTGCGGCTTTGTGGCGCTAGAGGATGGAAACGCGCGGGCGAGAAGGGGATGACAAGACATGAGCGAGGAAAGGTATGGCTGCAGCTGATGTACGCGAGGCGCGATGTGAGATTGATAGTGGGCTGTGGGGGGAGGGAGTGGGATTTGCGTGTGTGTAGGACGATAGCGGCGGAAGGGTGCGTTGCGTGGGAGGGAAGCTCACCTCGGTTTTTGAGAGAGGATGGGGGTGGGGTGGGATGTGTTTTGACGTTGGGGGAGATACGACGTTCACTTTCTCTCTCTCACTTTTTTCTTTTTAAAAAAAAAAAAGAGAGAGAGAGAGAGTAAGAAAAGACGGTACAGGGGGTGATGCAGTGATTCAGCGATCGCTCCCGATTGCGGAGGGGCCATTGCACGGCGAAGGAAGAGTGGGACAGAGTTGGTATGAAGGGATGCGTATCGGTGGTGAGCGTGGATCGATGGCGATGTGAATGAGGTGGGGAAGGGAGAGAAAAGATGGTACACTCGTAATGGAGTGATTAGCCGCTCTCTGACATGCTCTGTGTCTTTATGACAGGGTCTGGGTGAATCTCGAGTTGTCTAGACCGATCAGGACTCAACGCCAGTGGCTGGTATCGATTGGCTGTTGACGTGTGTTTGGCAGGGGAGTGGGATGAGCGAGTAGTTTTGAGGATGATCGCCACTCTCCACTCTTTCCCTCTGATGGATCAACCAAGTCCCTACTCAAATCTGCGCCACCAGCTGTTCCACTCCTCCCAACTGCCCCCGCCCTCCTCCATCCACCTTCCCCCAGTCAACTCGTCCCTCTCCCGCTCCACAACCCTGCCCCCCATTCACTCCACTCACTCTATCCGCTTCCCCCCCGTCTCCCCCTACCACTCCAGGGACACGCCCTCCTCCTCCTCCGTCCTCCCACCGCTTTCCTCCCCCTCGTCCCTCCCATGGCCCCCGCCCCCCTCTGGCTCCTCCCTCCATCGCACCTCCAACTCCAGAGATGACCTCCACCACCTCCACCGCACAGACTCCAGGTCCACTCCATCCCTCTCAGCACCCCTCAAACGCGAACCCTTATCCGCCCACGCCCTCCACCCCTCCCACCACCACCAACACCACCAACAGCAACAGCAACCCCAACACGCCAGCCAGCACCAGCAGAGCCAGCAATCACAGCAGCAGTCTCAGCAGCAGAGGCAGCAACAGCAGCAGCAGCAGCAGGACCAGCAGGCTAACAAAGAGGTCGAGGATGGCATGCCCTCCACCAGTGATTTTGTTAAAAAATTGTACAAGTAAGTCTTTATCTCTCTTGTCTTTCTTTTCTTTTTCTTTTGTCCTTCATTTTCTTCCTTTGCTCCGCACCTCCTGCCTGCCCCCCTCCCGCCCCCGCGATCCTCAAGATCCTCCCCTAACCGACCCCACCAACTTATCTCGTATTCCCCTTACCTAATCACCTGCTCCCATCACGTAAACACCCCAACTCCGATATCACCCTTCGTTCTATCCCTCAGCTCTCAGCCCATACATCTTGCCGACTATCGTGTGCCAAGATCGTCCCATCCCACCCCATCCACGTCCTGCCGTCGCGATTGGCTTTTGACGCGGTTCTCGCCAAGTTTGGTCGATAGCTGATCTCATCATGCATCATGCATACACGTCCTATCATCGTCGCTATCATCCCAACGCTGCATCACCGGACCACGATGGTCAAAGCACAATCTCCACCATAGATTGGTTTTGTGGTTTTGTGTGCGGCGTGCGGTGGCGTGCACGCGGACGGGCTTCGGGTTAGGGCTGGGGCTGGGGCTCGGTACCGGATCAAGTGAAGTGAGGCACTGTCCCGAGGGGAGGGCCCTTTGTCGTTCCTCGCGTCTGGCGCCGACGTAAAATCTCAAAATCTTAACATCTGAAGTCTAATTCGTCTATTTCCCGAAACGTCCGGCGTCTGACGGTTTCTTTGTCCCCTTCCCCTCTTTGCACAAGGCCCATGTCTTGGTCTTGGAATGTCGAACGTCGGACGTGCATCCCACCCCTTACCTTTTGTGCATGGCATCAACTAAATCAATGTGGAACTGGAAACGGAGAGCTTCAAAGGCGCAGCAAGGGTCTTTACCGCACCCCCTACAACATCTGCCCTCCCCTCGTTCCTCGCCTCTCATTCTCCCTCCGTCAAGTCTCAAACCCAATCCGTCTAATGAGAATTGAGGAATCTAGGAAGGAGTGTCGTGATGGGTGGACTGGGGCAAGCCTTGGTCTCGGGCTCTCTCCTTTGGGACGGTTTTTGCGATTTTTGCGATTTCTGCCTGCGCCTTGGGATTGGGAATTTGCGTGGGGACTTGCCGAAACGTTCTATAACTTGCAACGAAGCCTATCATTCGAGCGTGCTACGTCAAGTTCAAGTCACAAGGTCTTCTTTGTCGTCGACCAAGATGTCGTAAAAGCCGCATGGGGTCGGAGCTTATTGCGCGTTCTGAGTCTGGAAGATATGAAGATATGTACTGCAACTTTCCTGGTGATTTAGGCTAATGCATATAGCCTGATCGTTTTTGACGGTTTTATTTTGGCGTGCGGTGGCGTGGAGGGATGGTGTGTTTGGACGTGGACGGTCCCGGTACCGGATCATCAAATGAGGGAAATGGCTCTCGTCGCTCCTCGAGTCTCGAGCCTCAGTAAAATCTCAAATCTAATTCGTCTATTTCCCGAACATCCCACATCCATCTGTCACTCTTCCCTCCCTTGCCGAGCCCTCGAATCCCGTGCACCCGTATGGAGGACGTTATCGCGAAGACTAGCGCTCGAGCGCGCTGCACCAAGTTCTTCGACAAACATCATAAATTTCATTGGGCGGGGTTTATCGCGCGTTCTGCGTGTGGAAGGCATGCACTACGTCTTTCCTTTGCTCGGGGTTCCTTGGCTGCTCCAGATTCCCCTCAGCGACTCAACTCCCAAACTCAACTCTCGACTCCTACCCCGGATTTCTATCATCATCCTTTTTTATTTATTACATTTATTGTCACCATTCATTCATTCATTCACTCTCGTTTTTCTGTTTCATGCAATCTAATATTTCACATTTTGTTCATGGAAACTGACCGACAGCCTTGTGGTTGTTTTTTTAGGATGCTGGAAGACCAGGCATTCTCGTCTGTCGTGTCGTGGGGCCCGAATGGAGATTGTTTTGTCGTCAAGGTGGGTTTTGTCGGTTTTTGTTCTTTTTTTTTGTTGTTTGCGTGGCTGCTTGTTTTTATGTTTTTGTCATCTTCTTCGTTCTTTTTTGTGTTCCCCCACCTTTTGAAAAGAAAGAAGGCACAAGGAAAAGGAAAAGGGGCAAAAACACGAGCGAATGGGGATCAGCCCCTCGATCTGACGTTTCATATCCCCGTGTGCTCAGCTTGCCCTCACGGGCGCCTATGCCACTTGCCTTTTTTACTGACGGCTGACGGATGGGACGATCTGGAGGATCTGCTTTTTTGAATTCGTAGATTTGATTTTGATTTTGAGTTTGGGTTTGGGTTTTGGGGAGTGACTGATTTTTATTCATGATTTTGATGCCGTCTTGACGTCCTGATATTGATGCTTGATATGTTGATGTTTGATGCTGACAACCTCTTTTTCGTACCTTTATTTTTGGATCATCCCTTCGAACGTAAATCGACTACCACGAAACTCAGGACATGAACGAATTCACGAAATCGATTCTTCCACGGATGTTCAAGCACTCGAATTTTGCGAGTTTTGTGAGGCAGTTAAATAAGTATGATTTTCATAAGGTGGGTTTGGCCTTTTTTCGTTCGTTGGATACTTTTTTTTGGGAGCGTTCAGTGGGGAGGCCGAGAAAGGTTGGAGAGTTGGTGATAATTGGTGGAAGATGTAGAGGTGATAATGAGATTGAGTCGAGTTGGATTTTAGCATGAAGGCATAGGGGAAGATGAAGTATAGCATATGTGATTTCGTCCCCTTTTCTCTTTCTCCATGGTGTTTCCCCCATTCCCTCGTATCATTCGCTGACACCCCTCGAACAGGTCAAAAACACAGATGACAACCAGTTTGGCGAACACGTGAGTTGAGCTTCCTTCACGATCTTATGCGTCTTTGTAAACTCACCGAGCACAGAGTTGGACGTTCCGCCATCCCGATTTCCACGCCGATAGACGAGAAGCCCTCGAAAACATAAAACGTAAAGTCCCCACCCAACGCAAGTCCCTTCCTTCGTCTTCCAACACCAATCACGTCCCATCCTCCGGCCGCGCAGGGTCCACCAACTCCCCCGGGCCCGCCGTCGACACCCTCCAAGCCCACGTCGAGACGATCCAATCACACACCGGCTCCCTCCAAGCCCACGTCGAAGCCCTCCAATCTCACTTTGACTCCCTCTCCTCCACCTCCGACTCCCTCTTAACGCACACCGACTCTCTTCAAACGCACGTGGACAGCCTACAGGCGCACCTGGAGGGCATGAGGTCCCATGTGGACGGGCTGCAAGGGCATGTGGATAGAGTGTCGAGGGGGCAGGAGGAGATGAGTGGGAGGGTACGGAATTTGGAGAGAAATTATCAGGATGTGTTGAGTGAGATGGTTAATTTCCAGCGGAATATGGCCCAGCAGGATGGGTTGATGCAGAATTTGATACAGTACTTTTTGCAGGTTGAAAATGGTGAGTGAAGAGCACGGGTGTGTGAAGGTTGGGGTTAACTGACGGACTTCTTTTCGTAGGTAAAACTAAAGATGATGTTACGACTGCGAACGCTTCCGCCGCTGTACGGCAGCCGACTGCTCATCTCACGCCTGGCACCTCCGTAGGAGCTGCTAACCCCACACTCGCCCCCCCTACTTCTCTCTCGCCAAATCCAAATCCTTTCCTCCCCACCCAAGAAGCTCAACGGATGATGGGCGAATATCGAGAGACGGACGTCGCGCGCGCGTCTCTCGCACAGATGAACGAAATATCAAGACGAGCCGAGGTTGCTGGCATGTCATTTGGCGGATCAGGTATGGGCGGCGAGGGTGGGGCGCAGGACAGGCAGGGAGGGGGAGGGGGAGGGGGAGGAGTGTCACGGCTGATGGCTACCGCCGCGGGGCTTGTCAGTCGCTCTGGTGAGAGTCCGGGGTTGCAGGGGATGTCGAGGCAGGATGCGTTGGCGAGGATTGGAGAGCTGCAGCGCTCGCGGCCGACGTCTGCTCAGGGAGAACCGAGTGCGAGTGTAGGTGCGGGTGGCACGCAGGCGTTCCCGCCTGACGCCCCGTTCATCATGCCCCCCTCTGCTCCCCCCGCTGCAGGGCCTAGTACGAGCGCAGACGGGGGGGCGTTGCGCGGGTGGCCGGAGCAGATGAGCGTGGGCGGTATCGCGATGGATGCTACGCACGAAGGCCTTCAAGTCTTTACGCTCGGCCACCTGTTACCCAAGAGCGGGGTAGACGACGAGAATGGGAATTGGTCGTTTGATCCGAGGGTGCTTGGGGAGATGGGGTTGCCTGATGGGAGTGGGGAGGAGGGAGGGGAGGGGCAGAGTGAATATGCGGGCGATCCTGGGCCTTCCTCGAGCGCCTTTCCCCGCTCCTCGCCTGGCCCGGAAGAGATCGTACGTCCGACGGCGACGACGGTGGCGTCCTCAACATCAAGCGCTCAAAAGCTACGCGTGCGCCGCTCGACGTTCGTCCCTGGCTGGGCCGTCCCCCCACGTGTGCTGCTCGTCGACGACGATGCGGTGAGCAGAAAGTTGTCGAGCAAGTTTTTGCAGGTGTTTGGGTGTACGATTGATGTGGCTGTGGATGGGGTGGGCGCGGTGAATAAGATGAATTTGGAAAAGTATGATTTGGTGTTGATGGTGAGTGTCGCGAATTTTTTTGTGAGGCTTTTGGACTGAGTTTGCTGATCGAATTTTGGATTTTTGGGGATTTAGGATATCGTGATGCCGAAACTCGACGGTGTCAGTGCGACGTCGCTTATCCGCCAGTTTGACCATATGACGCCTATTATATCGATGACGAGTAATTCTAAACCTAGTGAGATTATGACATACTACTCTTCTGGTGAGTCCCCCCGCTCTACCATTGCTCCCTCGGCGTGTTTGCTGATGGCTCTCTCCAGGAATGAACGACATACTTCCAAAACCGTTCACGAAGGAAGGTCTACTTGATATGCTAGAGGTAATGGCCTCGTCTTTTTAGCGGAAATGTCGATATTGAAGGTTTTCCATCACAGAAACACCTCATGCACCTCAAAGTCATCCAACAAATGTCCAGAGTCCCACGCTCCGTCGGCGGTCCTCCCCTTTCTGCAGAAAGCTTCCAAGAAGCGCTCGCAGTAGGCGCCGCCGCCCTCCAAACCAATGACCCCTCCTCTCTCGTCCCCATCAACCTAAATGCAGACGAAGACGGGCGGATCAACCCGTTGGCCGGCATGGGTCTCACTGACGAGCAGTATACGGCAATTTTGCAGAATTTGGTGAGTGGGGAGAGTTTTATGGGGGCGGGTGTGCCGGAGGGTGTGGCGCTTGGGATGGCGATGGGGGTTCCGGGGCCGTCGGTCGCGGGGGAGAAGAGGGGGATGGAGGATGATGGGAATGAGGGGATGAGGGGAGGGAAGAGGGGGAGGTTTGAGGTGCTCGAGTGAGTGGGAGGGTAAAATTGATGTTCGAGTCTTAGCGACAACTCACCGCTCCTCCCCTCCCCAAACTTGTTTCGTCAATGTCATGTCGTGTCGCTTTGCTTTGCTCTGCGTTATTTTTTCCATACTCTTTTTTTTTTCCTCTTCTTCCGGCTATCTATCATACGATGTCGTTCCGATACACGTCTTTACTCAATGCGCCTCACTTTTATATATCGTTTCCCTCATTTTTTCTTTTTCTGTTCGACACTCCATTCCTCATCCTTTTTTTTTTTTTTCATCTCCCATGTGCTATCATTTTTTACACTCTGTTCTCATTCAGAAGTGTATTGTAATCTCTCGTTTTCTGAGCATGGATAGGGTACGAACCACCCTCTAAACACATTCGAGATTGCCAGACAGGCGTGATGGCGCAAAGTGCAGTAGGCTCTTTTTGAACAAACCTTCAAACTGTCATCCGTACACTGGACAAGTGGGGAAACGACAGCCCCTTAAGGATTTTCAGAGCGGGGTCATTGACTCGAATCGTCCATCGGCGCTATATTTCTGTCCCCCAAGAAGGGTAAATAAATATATATTGATATAGAAATGACGAGAATGAGAATGCACAATATCTGATTGTGTAGACAAGAGTCGCCAGATGAACAACACCGTTCCACGAAAAAGAAGAAAGAGAGGCTCGTGCGAAGCGCAATCCACCATGGATGATGTTCCAAGAAAAAGAAGAAGAAAAAGGAGGCTTGTGCAAAACGCACACCCCCACGGATGATGTCCCATATTAACTGATAACGCCATGATCAAGGTCAGCTAAACAAACGACGGTCGTCACGCCCACAGCTCGCAAGTCGGCTGTCGTAGGTTCGTCAATGACCTCCATACGCTCTTTGAGATCAGGGCGTTTCGAGAAGAGCCGCAAGAGAGCGAGTACGCCTAGATCGTCTATTCGAAGCGCGTGATCTTTCTTTATCCGTCGGCCAGGCCAGTGCTTTTGCAAGTATGCAAAGGACGATAGAGATGGCGAGCGCGCAACACAGCTGCGAGGATTATCGTCAGTCAGGAAGGGCTGTTCTCCGTTGTGATCGAGAAGTGAAAGTCCCTACCGGCAGTATGGCGAGCTAAGCAGAGGTGATGTTAGCTAAAGGTAGGTGCCACGAATGAATGTACCGTACTTTAAATACGGCCCAGGTCGGTGGCCCCAAGATTAGACATTCGTCTTGGTAGCAACCAGAGCCCGGGTCGTCAAGACAGTTGGTGGAGTATATACTCTGAGAGTCCTCGGGTTGATAGCGTGCAGCTGGGTTAATGACGTAAATGATTAAAAAAAATGACCATAGTTATCGAGTACGACGTACCAACCCAAAACATGGAAGCTGACATATTCGCTAACACTAGTTCTAGCTGCCCCAAGGTTCTATTTGCTACCATCAAAATCCCATCATCACTCGCGGAGGCCGTATCCTGATTAAAACCGAGCTGTTCTCCCAAATACCTAAGTCGGATGGTCAGAGACACGAATTTTAAAAATAATAAAGCTTCAGCCTTACTGCTCAGCCATCGACAAATAGCGCCGCTCCGTCGTGTCAGCGCTTATCTCATTGCCCAGAGTTTTTGGAGATGAGCCGAACGCCAAACTCCACTAAAGCGATATCGTTAGCTATATACCATAGGAAAGAAATGACAGACCGTACCCAATCGACAACGGGATCATACGAGGCGCTTACATTCACGTCCCACTTGGCCCAGGTCTGTGTGGTCTGAGGCGGAGGTGGTGCTTGGGGCGACCAACCATTATCGTAGCCTGTATAGAGGGTGATGTTTATTGTATTATATGACAGCGTACAACCAATAAACATCAAACGTGGCGTTATTCTGTGAGTTATCTAAAATGCGGTCAGAACTTGAAAATGGAGACGTAGGATGATCGCAACCATTTTCCGACCGCTCATCTAAGGGCAGAGTTCCACATGACCCCAGAGGGACTTTTTCACTGGAATCAGGAATGCAGGGCACAGTGTAAAAAACAATGTTGCGTCCTGGGGGATACGATAGAGACGATCTCAGCAACATAGTGAAATAAATTTGAATGAAGCACACCTGCAATGTAGACTGTCCAGATAGTCCAGTGATGGATATATTATTAGCAGGGATAGCCACTATAAAGTGCTATTGCTTAGCGGGCCGCACTGGACATTAGAAAAAGAACCGCATGATACATTGAATTCTTTTGCTGGGACGATGGCTTCCAGTGCTGCTTGGTCTAACGGTAGGTCATACAGTGTGCTGCCGACCCATCCGTAGTTTGTCAATCCAAGCAATCGACCCATGAAAGGTAATATCAATGAGGATTCACCCCACGGGTAATTTTCAACCAGTTCCTTGGTCAAAGGTGGAATAGCAGAGATTGTTCGACCAGATCGCCATGCCGGCTCCTGGTCAACTTGCAGCGTCACGATCCTTGTGCACGTGACGTGAAGGATGGATATACCAGCGAGATAAACGAGGACGTAGAGGGTTTTGGATACAGATCCAGGTGAATGTTTGAGTCTCTGCCGGCAGACGCTGAAAAAGGCCGCGCCCAGTCCATTCCAACTGGCACCGCAGTCATGTGTCGTTGTAAGTGCCTGGCATGAAGTTATATGACGATCGACAGCTAGACGATGCGTGACATATACCAATGCTGCAGAGTACACCTACACCACCAAGACTGATTAGCATAAAAGAGGTATAGAGATATTATACTGACTATAATGAATGAATGCTGATATAGTACCATTTACCACCCCCTCCACGACGTCTGTCACCAGACCCAATCTAACTCTGATAAGGTATCCTATACGTAGCACATGTATTACCAAGAGAGCGATATGGACTATGATCAAGAAGCCATGCAGGATGAAGCAGGTAATCTGGATGCGCGAAAGAGCTTTCCGACGGTGGGTCTCAACCTGAGTCGAAACCACTCCAGGATATTTTGATAAGGGGCTATCGTCGTCTCTTGACGAGGTTTTGAGTAACGAGCGACTGTCGTCAGACAGAATGTAATCTGGCGGCTTTAGTAGAGGCTGGTAACTGGGCTCGCTACCTATCGCGGTGCTTTGCGCCATTGTCCTTGAAGGAGCAAAGGTAAAGAGGGTCGGCACTTTATACGCCTTGTATGGGCGCTTTGAGTGGGAAATGGTCGGTTAGTCCTGTGTCAGAATCCTGATGTTGAATAGCTCACACTTACATGTGCCAGGCAACTATCAGAAAGAACTTTCTTCCTGGCGCCAGACAGCATCGCAGACCTAAAATACCCATCACACTCCGGGACATCTAGAAGACTATGTGAACTTATTCTACCCATATGTTCAGTACAGCAACTTGGTTAATTGCGTATACCTATGTTCATGTGGTCTATCATCTGATCTGAGTTTAAGGCTGCGTGAGGTATTGTCAAAAAAAATCCCTTATCTAACACATAGCCTTTGAATGCGGCGCATAAATAAACTGGATGATATGGCGATTCGACGGTATATCTTATTTTTGCCCTAAGGGGAAGCAGTGGTGATATGCTGCGTTGCTTCGATCATACAATGTATAAGTTAGTCAAACCGTCGTCACCAGCAGTGGTATGATAGGAAGTGAGACTTACAGACATGAGCCTTTCCTCCATACCCTTGATCACCGACACCGATGAAGCTAAACTTGGCGTGTGATGCAAGAACCCTCATCATGATAGTAGTAATGGGACTCGGATATCATATCCTACGGCGCCAATGTCACATCAGAATGTTTTTTGGGTACTCATAGCCACTATCCCACTACACCGCCGTATCTCTGCCGAATTGTTCACAAAACATCATGTGGGACCTAATACAGTCCCGACGTTAGAATTAAATATGGGAGGTGCAAATATGAACTGAAAATCTGCCTTGCTTGCCGCTTGAAGCCTTACATGATGATCGTCGGCGACTGGAAGTATAGCTGCCTAGTAGTGTTAGTCATGTGACTCTATAAAGCCAAACATATATCTTCTTTAGATCATGCCTAGGAGAAACAGTGGCAGCGTATCATCGAGTCTAGATCACTCTAATGGAAGTCATAATCGTAGTGATTAGCATGGAAACAGACTTCATAATGTGCATGTTACAAAGTGGGATTGATGAGGGTGTTGTTTGCAACGTGAAACCTTCGGTGGGCCTGCGTATACGCTCAAATCACTGGTCTTTCGATGCTGAGTAACCTTATCGGGATCACTTCGACCTATAAATTCTCCACACCAAGGTTATTCCAGATAAGTACGAGAAACAATATGATAAGATGCGAGCTGAAACGAGTTTGAAGAATGGGAGGTGATGTTGGTCTTGGTAGATAACGGCATATGTGCGACGCTTCTTCCTTTGAGTGGCGATGTTGAGGTCGAGGATGTCGTCAAGACGCCGGCACTGTTGCCCGATTTGATGATGAGACTGTCAGAAGTCCCATTCTCCTCCGCATTTAGGCCCAAAATGCTGCTATGGAAATTGACATTTCCCGAGTGCATCGTAGCGTGTCCAATATTGGCTTGGCCAACACCACCGTCGATCGAAGAACTTGCGTTAGTGCACGGACTTATGGGCCTTAGAATAGAGCACAAGTCTTCACGTTCAGGTTGTGGGAGCCACCCGCCGATGAATTGTTTATCCAAGAAGTTGCGGTCAGAAGGAATGGATCCCAAGGAAAGCGGTTTTGGACTGTGGGCGTCACTTCCACGAAGGTTCGGTTGTGCGGTCGTGCTGAGGAGCTGTGGTTCATGTGGTAAACTATCCGTGACCTATGATAACAGCAGTCAGGCGGAGGTATACAAAGATTCGTTGTGTATACCAAGTCCTTCCGGCTGGTGTGACCGTCCTGATCACCTGATGCTTGAACTTGAGGAGCAATTTCTGTATTTCCTGTGGACACAATGCCTAATTCTGAAGCTTGCTCCAGTGACTGGGATGAGTGGATACCAAGAGCGTTGAGCTTCGATTTCCATGACTGGTAGTTCCTAATATTCGTCCATCGCATGTTGGATATCATCTCATCTATGGACTCGAAAGAATCCGCAGAAGAGGACATGAGTGTACGTGACTGAGCTTCTGGTGTGGACTGAGCTGCCGGGACCAACAAACTATTGGTAAAACCATGATCGCTGTCGTGTCGTAAGAGAATCAGACGAACGTTCGATGAGAACATACCTGAAATCGTAGATTTGTTCCATTGACGTACTGCCGACCATCATAGGATTGAAGACCTTTTGCTCTTTAACGTTAGTCTCATAATGCTCCGTACCAATGATATTCACGTTGACTGCTTCCTCGAGCTTGACAAGTTTGTTCTTGGCATTTTTCAAGGCTTGGGCTTGATTCGAGCTGGTCTTTCTCTGTACCTCGAGTTCCCGAGAGGTACGTGATAGACTGCTGTCCAAGGTATCAACGTGATAGACAAGGCGTCGGTTACAGTCTTTGAGGTGCTTGTTCTCTCTCTTCAAAGTCGAATTCTGGGCATCGAGATTTGATATTAGGATATTGGCTAACGCATGAGGCGGGCGGACGGTAGTCGTGAGCGTGCCCAATTTCCTCGGCACAAGAGATTTGGGAGCGATATGTGGAATCCGAGAAACGGGAGTGGAGGCGGCTGACAAAGAAAAAATTGGACGTTGAAGAGGAGAATTCGTCCTTGCAGGTTTTCGACGATATAACGAATCCTTGTTATCAGACGCCTTGTTTGAGCCGTGGCTGCGAAGCTTGAACAACATCATGATCGGCGACAGAACGTTGGAAGGACAGTTAACAGAAAGAAAGAAAAACAATCAAGCGTGACACGATTTACAAGGCTGATGAGATAAAAATATGCCATGTAACAATGTCGGAGGCTGACACGGTAAGGGCTGACATCTGGATCCAGGCCACGATTAGGCTGGCCTTGATCTTTGCCAGACCATCAACCCGAATCACTACCAACATGATAACTCAACCTTAGTATTCGTAGATGTGTGAACAAACATTGTCCGCCGAAATATAGTTATAGTCCAATGCCATCTTCGAAGACGAGTACTTGAGCGCTGTAGTTCACGGGACATATCGTACACTGCGCAGCTACCTGGTACAGATTACGATTACAGGGGTGTCCTGGTATGTGTGGTCAGCTTATCCCGCTATCGCAAATATGAAAGAAACTCTACCAATTAGAAGCCTGAGCGGGTCCGCATGAAGTCTGATTAGAATCGGTACTATATCACATAAGTATAGAGTGAACGACGACCTTTCGTTAGCGCGTGCTCAGAGAATGATAGTTGATCAGACACATGTTCCACGTGCCTGATGGTGCAGGCACCGAGAATGGAACCACTCAAGACAAAGAAAACTGAACTAGTCCAAAAGAGAGACGATACGAACTTCTGACTCGGAGTGATATTTGGCGTGCTAGGACGTTAAGATGCACGATATGTTGGCCTCCGCGAATGTCTGAGGCTTCGTGTAAGTAGCCTTGAAGGCAGAGTTAAACGAGAATATATAGGACCTGTGAATACATGAGAGCGGTGCTCGATGTCGTGGAGAACGACGAAGGAGACATTGTTTGTCCAAGTTTACCACTGACATTTGTTGCGGATCGGGTGGCGCAAATTTCTGTCATCTACTCGAATTTCAAGTTTGCGAACTTGAACAGCCTACCGTAGCAAATTGAGAGCAATATCCTCCAGCCTTTGGGGATTCTAGTCACTTGGGCATTCTACCGGGCTCGACATAAATGAGCCACGACACTGGAAAAAGAAAGAGAGCAGAGGAGAATTGGGATTTTCTGGATTTAACCATCTCATCCCCTGTCTATCAAACATGGTCGCAGCCCGCTCACGCCGCGCCTAGTAGCAACTGTGACATGTATGGCGCTTTCCCTGCATCGTCACAAGCTTCGTCGACGACGACCAGCACTATAAAACGAGCCGCGACCCAACCTCCTGTACCTAACATTTTGTCCTATCAATCTAGATTCAGCAGTAAAATCCAAGAACCATTCATGTCCGTTCCCACTTCGTCTGCCCCTCCAGCAAAAAGGAGACGGAAGAAAAAAGATCCGAATGATACGCAGCCTGAAAAGAGGGGGGCAACGTTTAAAAAGAAGTGCCCCCAGAATATTATGGATCGGGTGAATAGGGTCATGTCGCAAAGGTGCGCATTTATGCGGTATTCAGTTGCTCTACCATACTCCTGCCTACTCATCCCGCCTACTATCACTGAAACGAAATCAATTGCATCCTGGTGCTATTTAGGTTCTTCCTGCTTGATAGGAAGCGAGAAGGTGGCCAACTTCGCGAGGAGTTTAGCGTCCTCGGCTCCACCGGGAACGTAAGTGGCTAGCCATACACTATTCAATCTGTCAATCACTCTTGATTTTAGGTCTACACTGTCATAATTGACAAGGCGCCGTCATGCAATTGTACGTGCTTAAACCGCTGCGTGCTCTACTGTATTACTCACAACACACTATCCAATAGGTCCTGATGCCGCTAAAGGAAATCATTGCAAGCACATTGTAAGCATGGATTATCCCGTGCCCCTAATTCTGGCTCACATTTTTGGTCGTATCTAGCTATTTATTTTCCTGAAAGGTCAGTACACAGCCATGTCCCACCACTGAACTCACACATCATTCAGTCCTTCAAGTCCCGCAAGATACCGGTCACTGGTACCAAAAGTGAGCAGTGCTATTCCGCGCATCCCTCGCACTTGTCTAATTCTCTATCTTATCTATTCAATGCAGAGCCCTTCTCACTGCCGAGTTGGAAGCAATCTTCTCTCATGCCCCTCCAGCCCCGAACTCCCTGGCTCACGAACGTGTGCGAGAGGCTTACGCTCAAGCTACCGGAAAACCTTTAGCTTCCGCGAGGAGCTCCAAAAACGCCGCGGATAGTACTTGTATAAATAAAAAGGGCCGCCTTCCGGGCCCTGAAGACGATTGTCCTATCTGTTATGAAAACATGCACGGTGCCAATGTCGCCGCACTTGTCTTTTGTGATAGCTGTCAGAATGCGGTCCATAAGGAATGCTTTGGGCAGTGTGAGTTATTTTTCTAGCTTCATATCACTAGTCTATCGTATACTATTCAACATCCGATCATAGGGGCTCGTAGTGCGACAAATCTTACGTGCGTTTTCTGTCGTGCGTCATGGACACAGCCCAGTATTTCAGGTACATCTGATGCCAATGGGTCCCGCCCCGGTGGTTATATCAATCTCGGTGGAGTAGCCGGGTTAAGTCCCGAGCGTGACACCAGCACTTGTGAGTCGTCGTGCTCTTCAGTTTCCTTATATCTCTCTTCGTCCATTTCGTATAACCTGTCTTGTTTACCCGTATTCTGGTACCGGCCCCTGCTTCTATATTCATACCATTACGTCGTGTCACCGCCTGGTTGATATGACGATCTTTGCTCATTATCTCCCGCAGATTATCATGGTGTAAGGCATGGTGGGAGGCATTACGGTTATCAGGAGTATGGCAATTCGTTCTAAATTTAGCGATGCCTTGTACTTTTATCGCCTCGATACTTACCTCATTCTAATGTTGTCTCTTTCCCCCCGATTTACTCCTTTCCTGATCTGAGGCTGTTTCTTCCTCGTTCTAATTTGACTCAAATGGTATCGACCATCATCCTTTAGCGTTAACATCTCCTGTCATGCTACCTCCACCTTGTTAAAAACACGCGCAATGAGTATGGTGTACGTCTGTCTATCTTCCATCATAGTTTGTACCGCTCATCCCTTACGCCACACCCAGCCGTGTACACCCAGCTCTACACGGTGGCACGATTGATTGATCGCCGATCGTACACATTCTCCAACCTGCTGTCGTTGCTGTTTATCTGATTCCCGACTTCGGCGATGTGGATATGTTTTTACACGCAGTCTGTCCCGGTATCATCTAGATTATCTTGACCACGGCCATCACATGAAACGCGACGACCTGGTTGGACCATGTATAAAACCTACGATGAACGTTGACACCTTGCTTTCTGCTTGGCAATCACGATGATCCCCGCGCTCGTTTTGCACTGCCGTATGGTGCCATTGGGGGCTCCCTGTGAAATCAGGATGGATAATCTGATATGACAGATGCCCTGAGCGCGTACACGTACGTATAACCTCGTCACGTGGTATACAGATAGCATCACGTGCCCGAACACCTCTCAAGTCCGCGAAGCGATTTCTCCTTTTTCCCTTCGAAAATCGAATTCCAGAATGTTATGATTGCACACAATTGTCTCCGTCAGCTCGTGTCTGTCATTTTCGGCTTGCTGTCCGCATCGTGAATCTCTAGGCTCTCTATAGGCCAGCAGTTTACTATACCTAGTGCATCCGAACTGCTGGAAAAGGTACTTGAGCTCCAAGGTACGGGCGAAATGAGTCCAGTCTCAATTTATAGCACGCCAACACTAACCTTAGTGGCGTTCGTCGGCCTCATGTCGACGGTCGTCTATGCATGTATTATTTTCCTGATCTCCTTACTTTTTTTCTCCATTTTCCCGCCGAAAACCCAGGTAACATGAACGTCCGAGAGAGTCAGGCCTGAGCTGGAAATCTGAGTACCGGTCTATAGTCTTTGGGATTAGCTACTGTCTCCGAGGATCGAAACTTTTTGTCTTCTTTCCCGGAGACCCTTTTGTTCGATACCTCGCAGACTTGGGCCAGACATCAATGAAAGTGATTCACTAGCACGCCACAGAGTCTTATCAGCAAAACAATCACCCCTTTCTACCACTTGGCACCTGCGAGCGCTGTGATATGCGATGCACGTCCAATAGGTGGCCGCCTTGCAAGGAAATGCCACCCCGTTTTTTTAATTATTTGCAGACAAAAAATCCAATTTTTTTCTTACACGAGGCTTTAACAGCCTCGAACCCTCTTCTCGGCCCACTTATAAACACCAGCATCATTTGTTACCTCTTGAAACTTATACGCTGATCGAAATTTTCCCTCAATTCCGCTCTCAACCCTGGAAAGCGGAGTGTACAGTGGTCAATATCTCCGTAATCATGCATTCTGAAGAAAAGACATCTCCTCACTGTGCTCCTTCCGAAAAAACACAAGATATCGTTCCTTGTCCTGGATCATCCTACACCGAACAGCGACTTGGAGTGTGGCGACTCCTCATTGGAAGAGAGTCATCTTTCGAGATTCCCGGCATTCATTGGATTTTGCTATGGTCTCACTTGCCGTTTCTAAGGCGAGCATTTGGAGAAATACACAACCTCAGCCCATCGTTGTTTTGGTGTTTTTTGTTGCCTTATTTATGGAAAGCGGTAGAACCAGGGCTGTCGCTGTATTTTTCAAATAAACTTTTATTTGTCGTATGTATCCCTTGCGCTTCCCTTTCCTATTCCTTGCGTCAACTTACTGCTAATTACACTCTTGGCAGATCGAACACCGCATAACGACTGGGAAGACGGATGTCGAGACGGTTTGTTGGGCGATGGGAGCTCGTAGTGCGTGTGTAGTGTTGAACGGGTTGATCCACTGGTGGTCGTGAGTGCTTACGTTGCCTATGCTCCACCTCAGAGCTTCTTTGACAGATCTAATTGAAGGAAGCACGTTGCTTTGATGTACAAAACTCGGGTAAAGTACCACTTCGAGGAGAAGCTATTACAAGGTGCGATCATTCGCCCTCAACGTGTATCATGCATGTCTCATAAGGACCCTTGGTAGCCAATCTCAAACGCGATCTCCCCACCTCGCAAGGTCTGTCCTCATCAACTGGACGCCCCCTCGCGGGTATGAAACTGAGACTGACGTTTGCGTTATCTTATCTAGATAATGAGTCGCGCTCGAAAGCAGACCCTGACGACGCCTTTAACTTTCTTCAGCAATCTATCGATCTCGTAAAAGGTCTTCTGTCATTTATTTTTCAGCTGCGGCTCGTATACCAGGTTTTCGGTTCCGGGTTGAATAGTACGGGTCCGTTGTTCGTCGTGCTGTGTATACTTCCGCTGGTTGCTCGTGGGATCGTTAAGACAGAGATATGGGGAAAAGGTCAGCTTATTGGACGATGTGTGTGTGTGTGGGAGGTAGAGGTTCCTTATGGTCTTTCCTTTGCAGCGTACGTCGTTCAAGCGATCAATAGCCACTATATTCGCAAAATGGCGCTGCGTGATCTGACTAACGACAGCCTCAAACAAGATATGCTGAGCGGGAACATATGTGATTATGTTTCACGAGGTTAGTCCCATTATATTCGTGTCTCTCATTGCACTCTCACTTTCACTGTATTTCGTGCCTCTGACCCAAGCTCTTATGTAGAATATCACAGAGCACAGAGCGGGCTTCGAGATATACCGGCTGGAGATGCCGAGTCACTATACCGACAGTCCAAAACCCCATTTGCAGATATAGCGTTGGGTATAGTGGGGGATTTGCCAATAGTGAGTGTAGTGGCCTGTATGAGAGTTCCCGTCCCCAAGCTCTTGCGATAGCTATACTTTGCAGGTCTCGCAATCTTCACGCCCTCGAAACTGTCGATGATCCACCTGGCCATCCTGGAACAGACGTCGATCTCACTGCGGTACACGTTCTCCCATATCGTCTTCACGGGAAAGCTGTGGCCCTCGGACCTTAACCGCATGAAAAGTATTTACCGGATCTTGGATCTCGAAAACCAGGTGAAGGATGGCGAGTTTCCTTATCCGTGTTCGCAGGAGGATCATCGCGGGAAGGGCATGTCACTGTGCATTCGGTGAGCACTTCTCATACGTCATCTCGAGCGTAACTCATGCGTCACTGTCACACAGCAACTTGTCGTTCGCGTACCCTGGCAGCAAGTCAGACAGGACCGCGGTCATCGATGCTTCCTTTTCCATCCCGAGTGGCTCGCTGGCTGTCATCGTAGGCGGAAACGGAAGTGGCAAGTCGACTTTGATCAAACTCCTAAATCGGCTATACGTTCCCTCTTCCGGAGAGATCCTCGTCGATGGCAAGCCTATCGAGCAATACAACGTCGCACTTCTCCGACGTGCCACTGCCAACCTGACCCAGGATCACAACCTCTTCCCCTTGTCTATTCGCGAAAATATAGGCCTCGGAAATCCTTCCCTCCTAAACGATCTGGACAAAATAATCGAATCAGCCAAATTGGGCGGCGCTCACGACTTTATCACTAACTTTGCCGACGGTTACGACACCGTCCTTCGTCCTGTGCAAACCGCATATCTCAGCTTTGCAGCCAACGCCAGCGATGAACTCCTGGCTCAGTACAAGGCCATGGAAAAACAAGCCGAGCTCTCAGGTGCGTTTCTGTTACCACTTTGTTTTTCGAGCTAACCTATTCTTCAAGGTGGAGAGCGACAACGACTGGTAGCGTAGGATCACACACTCTCTTTTCGTAGTTCTTCGCTGACCTCTCACTCAGCTCACGCACGTTTATGCGTCTCACCTCGGATGATATCAAGTTCGTCACCGTAGACGAACCCAGCTCAGCTCTAGACCCTCAAGGCGAATTCGAGCTCTTCGAGAGACTTAGACAAGCACGAAAGGGCAGGACCATGGTATTCGTCACCCATCGTTTCGGCCACCTAACAAAACATGCCGACCTTATCATGTAAGCACATCTTATCCTATCTCATCTGACGCACGACTTAGCTTCCTATATGTCCACCGCAGATGTATGAAGGACGGCGCCATCGTACAAACCGGGAAGCACGACGAGCTCATGGAGATGGGCGGTGAATATTCACGTTTGTACAACATACAGGCGGGAGCATTCATGACTTCCTAAAGTTAGTCGCAGCGGCTCGTTCGTATATTCAAAGTTGCTCGTGGCTGACTGGTGAAACTAGCTCCATCGCGTGGTGCTCAATGTCTCGCCCAGGATACCCATCAATTTTTGTTTTTGTTTTCAAGGACATTTTTAATCTAATCCTTTCGTAGCCCTAATTATACCCTCGCCGTCGCACATCTTTGTTTTTCAATCGCTTCTTTTGGATATCTGTCAGGACCAGTCTAATATTTTGGGTTTTTGAGAAGCTGTTTTACGGACATTGGTATGTGTAGGGTGAGCGAGCATGTATTTACATCAGAATGGCTGCATGTAAACAACGACATTCCTTTCTCCGAGGACACTTGATATGAAATACAACCGTCGCAATGAGATAATGGGGGATGAATTAATGATTACAGTAATACATGGACCGAATCTCAACAAACCATCAACTAGTAAGCGATACTAACACACTTGCCACGCCATTCGTCCCAATGTTTGACCACGCCCTCAACCAGAAAATGAGAAACATCTTTCCTCGATACTGTCCAGCTTCCATCGATATCTCCGGATTCTACTCGATATGCAGGCTTTTTCGCTTCCTTGTCTGCGCGACACTCTCCGTCCGTTAGAAGAGCAGGACGGACGACGACAATATTCTCCATTTGTCCTTTGGCCGGGACCCGATCTGCCCATCCCTCGCCAAGTATCTCAGTTCCTGGACTATTCCTCTCGTCCCACGACCATCCTGCACAATGTGCCACGACTTCCTCCGCACCGCACTTGTCCTTGTGAGGAACGGTGAGGCAAGCATACAACGGCTTAAGCAGTAAGGGAAGCGTGGCATGCGAGTCGCGCGTGAGACCGATGGACGAGATAGTGATTATTTTGGGATGCGGCGTCGGTAGTGTTTCCATCGTATTAAGTAGAGACTGGGTAACGAGATTGGGAGGTGAGATGACAAAGCCCTTTGTCAACTTGAAACCAGGCGTTCCACCTGTAGGTTGTCTGTGTTAATATACGGAACGAAGACGTCAGGTTGATGAGAGGCTTACCGACGGTGAAGAGAAGGAAGTCGACTGGCCTGGAATCGCCGCCTTTGGCAGCTTCATCCCAAGCGCGTTGCACGTCTTCCTTGATTAGGGCGTCTCCCTTGAGCAAACGAGCCTTTCCCTGTTGAACATATTTTTGTATCGTCTGATTGTCGTCAAAAACGTTCGGCGATCGTAGGAGAAAAGTAACTGTCGCCCCTAAATCTAATGAGTGCCGCGAGCTTCATGTAAGAGGGGAGGATATGAGTACGATGAATTCGGACACATACCCAGCAATCTGACGGCAGAAAAGTAACCAATATTCCTCGACCCTCCGATGACAAGAACTTTCGAGTTTTCCATGATAAAACTTGAGTGATTGATGGTCCTCTTTGCATTCTAACGCAACTTTATATATCCGTGACGTTGACAAGCGCCACCGTGACTCGGACAGGAACCGCAGTAAGCGCAGGAGTCATTGTATTTCTGTATGTCAATGTCGATCGTTGTAGCACTGGTTTGCAGTGCTACTACATCTGGTTCGATGAGATAATGGTAAGTTGATGGTATCAGAAACGGAAAACCGAGCATACATACCTTTGCTTTAACTCCTAGGCAACCTAGTCCTACATGTTCTTTCATGGCCCACCAGGCAGGATGAAAAATAGCACCTGAGCCTCTATTAGGTTTCCGCTAACATCATTGATCAACCAACCGAGATGAAACTGTGAGGGACTGGGTCTTGCCCTCCGAGTCGTCGTACATTGCCCTGATTTAGCTTCTGATTGCCGACGAAGAGGAGTACAGGCTGGGAGACTACTGCTACTGAGGACTACTGAGCCTGCATTGAAGACGTGGCCTGTTGAATTTGTTGTTAGGCTGCGGTGCCTCCGTAGTCATCGGGTGTCAGCAACTGTCCTATGCAGAGACAGACGTGGATGAAGAACGTAGCGCTCGACTGTCTACGTGTAACATGAGATCGGCTGCACCGGGCCGAGTTCCGAGACCAAGGATGTTTCACCGAGAATCAACGCAACTAGGTTAGGGTTAGTATGATCTTGTGTACAGCCACTCTGATAACTGTCACTTCCGAGTCACTGTCGGTGTAAAACCATGGTGTTCACAAAGCTATCGTTTCGCGCAGCCCTGCCTTTCAAAACCCGTCCTATCAAACTTTTCCCTCGACGCTTCGCCTCAGAACCACAGCGTCCGCCAATAAAGGAACCCGTCACCGAAACATTCTCTGCAGCTTCAAAGCCACGACTATACTACTCACGACCGCCGCCTCGATATGATCTGCCTCGCATAGAAGTAAGGTTCTCACCCGCTCATATACCTTCACTGACTCCCTTCTCTTCACGCCATTACAGAAAAAATGGCCTTTCATTCTGGCGTTCGCCACTCTCGGCGTGTCCGCTTGGGGTGCGTTCCTCCTATACGCGACGAACCAAGAAAAGCTGGCAAGCTCGGTCTACAAACAAATCTTGCGTACTGTGAAGGAGTGTGACGAACTGAAGGGGGTGCTGGGAGATGCCATTCGCGCTGAGCCAGCTTGGTATCTCAATGGGGACCCCTGGATAACAGGTGGCGTACGTATATGCTCACACTGCCGAACAGGAGGGTGCTAATTTCCGATATTTAGGTCAATATTCCTCAAGGAAAGATAGACCTGAGTTTCCGGCTAAAGGGGCATAAAGGTAAGTACTGGTGTTTCTGGACTGGGGTACTATACCGACGCTGTATGTGAATACTTTAGGATCAGGGACGTTGTATTTCACCAGCATACGAACAGCCAAAGGACAGCCCTTTACACCACGTATGTTCCAATAAGTAACCCTCTGTTGCGTCCTTATCTGATTATGCTGGTGGGCAGTGCGTTTCCGGGTTATAGGTGATGATAAAAGCATAGTAAACATTCCAGTCTCGACGCAACTACCGTCACCCTAGCACTACATATTGTGTTCCAGTCATCGGTCCCCGTCACTTGTGTCTCAGGCTTGTTCGTCATCGCGTTCACACTTCAATAACGTATTTTACATTTGTGCCTATCCTAAGAACATTTTCCCCACCGCCACCTTAAATACTTAAAGACTCTGCATACAAGTACTTTTGATCTTTCAGATGCTACTCCAAGTTGTTTCACTCGTTCCCTGTGCGGCTCTGCTTAGTTTGTTAACATATCATTATGGTCGGAGCAGACAGTCATCACGCCTCTTGCCTTAAACTACCGTACAAATATTACTGGCAAGGGATTTAGGAATGTACAGCATTAGGCGTTTTGCATTTCTATACAGCTTGCAGTTATAATCCACTGAGAGAAATGCCTTACTATATGGGGAAGGTAAAGTAGTTCATAATGTCCACTTCGGCGCTTCTCTCGCCTGAAAAAGTGGCTCTGCTTAGGATTCTGACCATTGGCGATCTTCGCTTCAAACCATTCTCTTGTCGCCATTTCAACGTCGGGCAGGTTTAGCTGAACCTTAGACTTTCAGCCAACCACCACCTACACCATGCATCGATGTCTTCGTCTTACCGAGATTTTGACGCTCATATTTTCTTTCAAATATGCCACATCATACTCAGAACTTGAGCCCCCTGTGTTCCAAGAAATCAAAGAAAGAGACGATGCTCTTCATAAAAGGACCCTTGCATCATTGGCTAGAACGTGTAAGCTATTCTCTGGTCCTGCGTTGGATGCTTTGTGGGGCGAGTTGGATGACTTTGCACCACTTGTGAGATGTATGTCCTCTAACTTATGGTATGTTGACGGGGAAAAGATGGTGCGCATTGGTTTTCTTTCCATGTGTATCAATCGAATCCTCATGCCTTTCATTTCTTAGACATTAAGACGGCCTGTCGAGGCCTCAGACTGGCTGATATTGAGGAAGTACGCTACGCGTGTGCGTGTCGTCGTTCTGTCCGTCCATCTTTCTGCACGGTTTAATAATGAGCTTCTCGGCGTGTTTTCTACCCTGTGTCCCTATCCACTCCTACCAGCCCTCAAAGAGCTTCACTGCATTGCGGACCAGAACTGGAACATAGCTCTCCCTTTCCTTCGCTCTCTTGTCAACCCCGGGATCACTAGCCTTTCCCTACCGTTCCCTATTCTCGATGGGGTCTTTGGTATATCCGTCTTAGCATCCCTCAGCGAAATGTGCCCACTTGTGCAACGTTTTCATATGGTTGATTCAGATAATATGACTCTTATGGAGTCCTTGATCACGTTCCCGCAATTGCGTAGATTCGTATGGAGCTCCAGAGCTTGTTCTACTATGACAAATCTGGCTTGTTCCTGGAAGCATCTTCAGAGCATAGAGTTTTGCATGCTGGATGAGCAGGCAATATTGCGGCTCGCCGATCTACCATCGCTGAAGGAGATCGGTCTGGCGATCATGTCTCCCATCTCTCACAGTAATAAGCTCAGTGTACCCCATCCAGTCTTTCGCAGCCTTACGGCACTTCACATCACAGCATACGATTTGAGTGGCCCAATAAGCTTGTTGGAGATGGTTCGTTCTCCACTCGAGGAGATCTCCGTCCTCCTCCCTCGGATACCCTCCCCAGACGCGCTGCACAGCTTCTACACCACGCTCTCGCAGCATGCTTCACCTGATCACCTCAAATCTGTGGTTGTATCTGTCATCGATAGACGGGAGAACTTTGAGCTCGCCAACGCAAGCGCCGTCAATCCACAGATGTCCGGCATCTCATACGCCACTATTGACATTGAGATGGTGAGAGACCTGCTCCATTTCCGACGAATTGAGCGCTTTACGGTGGGCGGAGATTTCGATAATTTCTTGTGGAATGATGATACCCTGCAGGAACTCGCCTTGGCATGGCCGAATTTGCATATTCTGCAGTTGGGAGACGGTACAGGCCCGCCATGGACGACTCCATCTCGGGTCTCGCTCAGAGGTTTAACGACATTGCTGAAGCTCTGCCCCCAACTGGAACACTTGACAATAGTCATTGATGCAGGTGTGGTTCCGTCTGTCCAAGAACTGGGAGAGGACGTGGTCTGTAACAAACTTATCGAAAGTTTGACGTTGCTGAACTCCAATGTCGGCGACTCCTCTGCTGTCGCTACCTTCCTCTACGCCATCCTACCCCGTCTCGTCCACATCCGGCCGCATAGTCACCTCAAGTCCTTGCGATGGATAGAGGTGTCGGACTACCTCCTGGGCTATGCTCTGGAGAGAGAGACGCGGTCCGGAAAACTGGAGAGCATGCAAAGATTGTCGGAATTGCAGCGTATCGTGTACCGCCAGACGGAGTTCGAGCGAACCCTCGACCCCTCCATCGTTGAGAACCGAAGTAACTGGTTGTTCAGCATTCAGTGATCTTCGCCTTTCTTGGTTTTTAATCATGTTTTTTTGTTTTTTATTAGAGGGCTTTGCGAAATCGCATTGTATCATCATCGTGCGGAATCCTAAGAGGCTCGGACATTTCGTGATCACGACATTAGACTAGTGTGGATAGTAGTTTAAAACTGAAATAAAAAATATCATTACCTTACTCTGAAAAAAATACGATGCAGCACCGGTACGCAAATAAGACGAGAAGACAGATGTTCTGCACGTAGAGACAGAGTGGAAATTTTCAAAAGTGTACACATCGTACAGAGAATCACTTTTGGATTTTGGCACTCGCCCATATAACAATCGAAAACTATGACTTTACTTTAGTCGATACTAGGGCTGCAGGGTTTTGTCAATACATCTACTTGTAAAAAATCGAAATCAATGAACCTCGGTCACTGCCCGAATTCGAAATGTTGCGAAACCAACGTTTACGCATGCGCAACGCCTTCAAGCTTGGTCTCACATATTGATTGTGGTTTGACCAACGTTCAAATGTTTATAGCTTCAACCTTCAGGAAATGCAAATCAGAAACACAACTTTCATTGCAACCAAAAGACGTAGAATAAAGGACTAAAACTTGGTTTCACGAACGTCCCCCAACGGGAGGAACACCCCTCCTGGGCCTGCTTCCTCTGCGTCCATATCCACCCCAACCACCAACATATGCACCTGGACCCATCAATCCTACCCCACCGGGCTCACCAAACGTAGCAACATTTCTTTCCCTCTCCTCCTCCCTCCTATACCTCCCTCCACCTCCTCGTCTACCACCGTGTCCTCCGCCTCTAGGAACGGACACCGCTTGCGTTGAGGAAGACAATGAATCGAAGAACGACATTGTAGGATTATACGCCTTATCCTGCTCCTTCTCCTTTTCTTTTTCCTTTTCATTCACTTGGGGCTTCTCAGCCGTATCATCATCGGAAGGATTGGTGATCTCATCGTCAGAAACTTCTTTGGGTTTTTTGGGCGCAAGAGCAGCCTTATCGAAGCGAGCGTTGGAACTCTGGAAGTCGAAGTCCGTCGCGGGAACTTTGATCTCCTTCCCATCTTGATGCCCGTGGTGACCATGCCCTCGCCTTCCTCCACCTCGACCACCCGGTCCGTGATTAGGGTGCCCATTCGATACACGCAAGTCGCCAAGGGCACGTTCCACAGTCTCGAGGGATGCAGCTGCAGTATGGACCGAATTGTTGGCGCGGCGCGGGCCGTTGCTTGTGCTAGGAGCTTCGGGAGCCGCAGGCACAGGTCCACGTTGAGGTGGGATGTCCTGAGCAGGGACAGGAGGTTGTGGTGTAGGGTAAACAGGTGCCTGTTGCGGCTGTTGTGGTGGGGGATGCTGCATCTGTGGCTGAACGCCAGGTCCAGGCTGCTGATAGGGTGAACCATAAGGAGGGTAGGGTGCTTGGTTCACACCAGGTGCAGAAGCCTGAAGGTAATATGATTAGCACATGATTCGAAAACAAATAGAAAATTTAAGTCAGAAGGAAGGCAACGGAATCATCCACACGAGGTTTTTGCGCTCTCGGACAAGTGAGTCTGTGACTCTTTACATCCGTAATAACTTGCATCATACAGTCTAGAATGCACAGCTGTTAACTATGTCTACTCACCCCAAGTACAGCGGGGTCGTCGTGCACGCTTCGCCGGGGTGTGGGTTCGTCAACAGCAAGATCTTTGACCTCAGAAGCACGGAAGATAATGTATTGATATGGTTCTTGAACGGGAGGAATGAACTCGGATGGGGGCCTAGGAGAGCATGCGTGTCAGGACGATGATTGATATAACATCAAAAAAAATGATCAGAAGGAAGGCAACGGAGTAATCCACACAAGTTTTACGCTCTCGGACATGCGAGCTTTAGAGCTCATTTGTATCCGTACTGAGCTCATCTTGTTGTAAAAGAAAAGACAATGGACGAGAAAAACTCACTTCCGTGATTCGGTACCCATAGAAAATACTGCATGGTAACCATGATATTAGCAAAGGCATGCGTCTACACACTCAGAAGAAGTGACAGCGCACCATTTGAAAGCTGTATGGTTGAGGCTGCAGGGTCTATGCCCGCCAGAATGCCTCGGTAACGCACATCAGAATGAGAAATAAGAGATATCGGTTTTCTGCGAAAAATCAAGGACGACGTTAGTATCGAGGCGTATGATAGGATTGGGTGCGATATACCCTATAAAACTGAGAGCCATGTCGAAAAAAACGTTTAGAAATGAAGAAACGAACGCGTTTGAGTTTACGGTGCTGTCTGCTGTCTGCAAGCGGCGTTCAAACTCGTCCTGGGGAAATTCAGACTCCGACACACGCAGTGCATAGACGAGGTTAGGGTTTCTACTCTTCTTTGGGAATTATGCACTTGGAGCTCAAAAGCGATTTACTGGTATCTATCAATGCAATGAATGGTCTTCTGTCTTGCTTTACTGTGCGCAACGCATCTCACGCCGATTTTCTGCATTCAATGCATTTATCCGGGCGCAATTACATGGGATGTAGGACATGATTATGTAGAGAAATGGTGGTCCAAAGAGTCATCGACACTGCAAGTTCAGGGGGAAAGAAAATAGTATACAGCGTTGAACTTTGAACAGCTTGATGCTTTAACCTCTCTCCAGTCTGCCGACCACCCCCTCTGCCTCGCCTCTTGCTTGTCCAAGATCCGGATCCAGGCTCGACGAAGGTGCTTTCTGCCGGGAATCACCGGGCCCAACCACAGCATTGGTCAAGTGAGGGTCAATAGGGTCGGAAGGTGGACCGGATCCTGTGGTGGACGTGGGTGTCGATGTGGGTGCTGGTGCTTGTGGTTCAGTAGGATACGGACGGAAAGGAGAAGGTGCAATTATGGATCGATGAAACCGTGCGCGAAAATCGCTGGGATGTGGTTGCTGTGAAGGGTCCGTGGCATATGCATTTGCAGAAGGATCGTTCAAATCGACAGTCGGATAGGGAGGAGCGGATGGTCCCGGCATGGCACCTTCTGCCACTTTTACAGCGTTTGCGGCTTGTTGAGCATAGTGCATTCGACGCTGTTGAATTCAAAACTTGTTAGTTGCAGAAAAGTGAAATGGATGGAGTGGCGTACCTGGTGATCCCAGTGGTCCCAAGCTTCAGCAATTATAGGCTCCAGTGAAGTCAGCTCCTCATTAGTCATCTGGAGTGTCCGTAGTAGATGTTGTTTCAACAATGGCGCGCACGAAAAAGACAGTAAGAGGGTCGATGCAAACGTCTGGCCACCGAGTGGCTGACCTTGAGGAAATGGAGGCTCCTGTGGGTTCATGGCATGCTGATGAAGCTCGTGAGGAAGAACCGCTTGGTACTGGCCGTCGCTGTTGACTCTATAATGGACATCTTCCATTCCTGCCATCATCTCGCTGCCCATTTCCAGTCCAAGCTCTCTCATCTTGCGTTGTTTCACAAGTTGTCGGTGTTTTCTTTGCCGATCTCGAGCAGCCGCTCGGACCCTTTCTCGCCTCGCCATCTCCTCAGGCGTTAGTTCTTGCCCAGTGAAGGCTGGAGGTGGCGGTGGCTGCTGGTGCTGAGGAGGAGGCTGTTGGGGATCACTTGGCTGGGCGAAGGCCATGATGGCGTTCATGTTATTGGCGTTGCGATCCCGCTCTCGCTTGCGCCGTTGTCTCTCTGCAGCTTTCTCGCGTTTGTGCCGTTGACTGGGGGTTTCATTCTCGCGAGAACGCTTGCGGGACGCTGAGCTCAGCGCAGACAACGTATTCTGGGTTGGATCATGATGCCCACTGGAATCCATTATTTTATTCTCTCTCGCGTCCTTTTCTTCAGCACTGTGACTCCTGTTACAGCTCCTTCTGTTTCGATGCGAGCGTCGAGTGACGAGGTCGTGACGGGAAAGTGACAAAGTTCTAACCAAACACTGTCACACTCAATCCTTTACATGGTGGCGTGAGACACAACCTGCGTAGGCGATGCGTCCGAGTCTGGCTGGTTACTACTTTCTGCTCGCTCAACAAACCATTGTCTTGTAGGCAACAGCTCTGAACATACACCTAAGACTTTTACCGGTAGTAATGCAACACCTGTCACGGCCATGTTTTTCCAACCCATGAATTTCGGTGGTCCAAATTACGAGTCACATCAATATGTTCTTTCAGTACACTTGGAGGTGTCGGCAGCTACATTTGTAAATCTGACCGTTGGCGCCCGATGTCATTTTGGTGAATGGACATATTTTCAATGAGGTCATATGTACGTTGAGTTTAGTTATTTCCTGTTCGGTACTAGGTGCATTTTACCCACTCCCTGACTGATAGGACCATACAGGGATGCCTCGTAACGAGTAGGGTGGTTCTTTAAATTCGAAGATCGTTTTTGTAGCCAGAGATCAAATTCTAGGTGAGGGCCAACATTGTCAGCACTGGCAGGGTTCATCGGGAGAATGCTTTGTGCTAGTATAATTCATAGCTTGCAGGGATTGGTATATGAACCTGTTTTCGAGCAATATATAGATCACGTGACTGTTTGCAACAAAAGCCACAATATTCCAACTCCAACATAAAAGTTGTGTCAGGCTTCCATTCGTCTTCGTCAACACCCCAAGTCCTAACCGAAACGTCTCTGCCGGCATCCCTAACCTCCATTCAAGGCGTTGATTGATATTAACCTGCTGCCGCTCGATACATAGTGACTTCATCCGCAGAATTATGCAGCGAATTCTACTAATAGTTGCATTTTCTTGTCAGGGCAATGGTTTACATACCTGGGGGTTACATCATGTCCTACGAATATGCAGAGGCGTGGGCCCAGAAAAAATTTCCCGACGACGGCTTTGGGAGTCCAAGCACCCTTGCCGAGACAATCCGTAAACGTCTCAACAAAGATCTGTTCAAAATCCCTTGGACCTTAGCCGTTCGATACCAAAATCAGGACATGATTTTAATTGTTATGAGCCATCGCAACACAAGACTGTCACCCTACACTCGCAAGAAATTTACCGAGGACGACCGTGTGAAACTCATTAAACACTCCTTGTTTGGTGGTATGGAGGGTGAGCTTGAATTCCTCAAGGACCTCGAATTTGTGACCATTCCTGATCCTTACACAACTGGCCTCCCATGAGTTTCTTGCTCCATATATGTTGGTGATCGTCAAACAATTCCTTTTCACAGCTAATAATCTACTTCTGTCAGGACCCCCCTAATAATCTACTTTTAGGTGGCGATCGAACGAAGCCGCGAAGCGGCTGAGTGAGATCGGTGGGCTGGAGGCGTGATGAAGAGATACCAGACTGCCCTCAATGGAGGTAGACGAGCAGTTTCGGATTTTATTCCTCATCAGTGGTATCTTCAGAGGTTTATATATGCAAACTGGCGGGAGTAGCGGCGCTTTAAATCGCATACTCCGACGGAGTCCTCCTGTGGACAAGTCCGGAACTTACACGCGTCACCGATCACAAGACCAGTTCGCTTACTACTTGGGCGAGAACCGCTGAGACGGGAGCCGAGATAGGGCGAAATTTAGACTGGGGTAACCGGGCCGGTAGATCTAGACCGCCGTATCACATGGTTCTTTCGCGTAGGTGCTATACTTAGACAAGGGATTACCAATTGCCGAGTCAGCGGTGATTACATGACTCATTCATGCTTAGGGTTCGGGGCCCGCGGGTAAAGATAGCCCGGCATGTGTTCTAAAGCCGCATTAAAGCCGTCTGGGC